CCGCTGTGGGCATACCAAGACACAAGACGGGTATTTAAAGCTGACAATAATGCAGCATGTCAAAGGTCCACATGCTGTTTCCATTTACACTGAAACTACAAATGATGAATTCCATATTGGAAAGGTGCATGTGCCCTTTTCGTAACTTCCAGTGAAAATGCCTTCATGCATCGAAATCATCATTAGAACCCAGAGATATGTAGACAATAATGGATAAGACGTTCACATATCCGGCAACGGGAGAAAAGATAGGGCAGAAAACTCATTCAACCTATATTGAGTTTCTTCTGATTGATGGTTGGTGTCATCTGACAGAAATCTTCATTAATAGTCATTTGGTTCGCTATCAGATGCTATGGCAAATAGGGAGTGTATCGCTTACCTTTTGTACTGGACAGAACCTGCAATCTAGTAGACTTGCCAGCAGTTACACCTCAATTCATGTTAGTGGTAGACTGTATGTATACCAGTGGCGAATATGTACATGTATATACATGTCGCTCCGTCTTGTATAGTTTTAACGGACGTGACATGCCATGCTTTTGGAACTTTTGCGTAGTGCAGCAAGATTTGCTGATAAGTTGGTTGCAGGATATGTCACCTCTCAGCGCCAAGAAATGAAAATAGACCAAGCTTAGTGAGATCCCATGCCATACTCTGAGCTCAGGTAGCTATTTGTGTAGATGTCTTCGTGAACATTATCGTTTTAGGTAGGCAACTGCAAGGGACATTTAAGGGTTCATGAATGAAGGCATGTTATAAAATCCATTGTCAGTTTGACAATATGCATCCTGGTATATCGGAGTGTCTCTGGATATAGTGCAGGTCAAGATTCTTCTGACATTGTAATTGTTGGATGTATTTCATTTGATGTTTAGGATTAAATTATGAAGCTTTTGATACTACAGCACATACATGTTATACCATGTTATACCACAAACACCAGAATGCAATACAGTCACTAAGTTACATCACAAACACCAGAATACAACAGAGTCACTAAGTTACATCACAAACACCAGATTACAATACAGTCTCTTAGTTACATCACAAACACCAGATTACAATACAATCACGTAGTTACACCACAAACACCAGAACACAATACAATCTCTAAGTTACACCACAAACACCACACTACAATACAGTCACTAAGTTACCCCACAAACACCAGATTACAATACAGTCACTAAGTTACATCACAAACACCAGAATACAACACAGTCACTAAGTTACATCACAAACACCAGATTACAACAAAGTCACTAAGTTACATCACAAACACCATATTACAATACATTCACTAAGTTACATCACAAACACCAGATTACAATACAATCACGAAGTTACACCACAACACCAGATTACAATACAATCACTAAGTTACATCACAAACACCACATTACAACACAGTCACTAAGTTACACCACAAACACCAGAATACAATACAATCACTAAGTTACATCACAAACACCAGAATACAACACAGTCACTAAGTTACATCACAAACACCAGAATACAATACAGTCACTAAGTTTCATAAAAAGTTTCGTATCACATTCGATGCATTAACTGTACAGGGACCAAAGAGCAAAACGAAACGTACATACTTGGTGTTAAACAGCAGGGTGTCAAAATCCATAAGGTCATTTTCAAGTTCAACACTGCATTGCTGTTAAGAGGTAACACACACACACACACACACACACACACACACACACACACACACACACACACACACACACCACGTTGTATCAGAAAATATGTTGTAACCAGCTGTGAGCTGAGAATTCAGTTTTCACAAGTAGTCGAATAATGGACCATTCACGGATTAGGTTCTTGATTAGTTAAACAATGCGTGAGTGAGTGAGTTTAGTTTGACGCCGCACTCAGCAATATTCCAGCAATATGGCGGCGGTCTGTAAATAATCGAGTCTGGACCAGACAATCCAGTGATCAAGAGCATGAGCATCGATCTGCGCAATTGGAAACCGATGACATGTGTCAACCACGTCAGCGAGCCTCTTACGACAAGCATGGGTTACTGAAGGCCATTATTCTAACCCGGACCTTCACGGGTCTAATTTTTTTTTTGCAATGACTTTGTTACTGGAAATGGTCAAAAGGCAGTTGTAATAAGGAGCCGCAGCCCTGGCCGAAGGGTAAGGCGTGATACGAAGTGTATAGAAATTCAGTCTGCCCTCTTCATAATTAGCTGTTGAATATATGGATAGACCAAACACTAATTACATATCACCGCTGATCCAGTTAAGTTCATCACGCAATACAGTAATTGTAAGGCTTGTTGGTGTGTGATCATGTATATGTCCATTGTAGCAGTGTTATGTTGTGGGAGAGATAAGGTTGGGGTTTACACGTTATTAGGCCCCTTTCTCTGTGAAATTCACAGTTTTAAATAGGAGCCCCCTACCAAAATAAGAAATGTTTTGGTTTTATTTAACAGTAAGCGTATTAAAACTGTTAAGACATATGTACTTTTTCATCATATAAATCCAATAAATCTTTATTGTGCTGCGAGGGATATTTAATAAGTATTAAATCATAAGACATTATGTGTATATTAGCCAGGTTTAGTAGTGGGCAGTTAATTGGAAACTGTACTTTGGGTGGAAAAGATAAATTGTCTGTATGTAAACATTGTACTGTTATACAAAATGAACAACACGTACTTCTTGAAAGGGAAATGTTTATTGCAAATGTAAATCTACATCCTTACACTTTGTCACTCAATTGATAATAATACATTATTAAATATGGCATTATGTCTGCTCTGGGTGTAAAGAAGGAATCGAGAACAGGTTCGCTGTAATTCTACTCATATTATGTCCACTGAATATTTGTGCAAAGGGTCATGTACCCTTTTCTACAAATAAGGACGAATGATCTAATGCACCATGCTAGTGATCGAGCGAGCTTAAGGTGCCGGGATCGAGCCCACCTGTGACCACCCAGTTCACCCAGCCGTCAATGGGTACCTCGAAAGGATGGGAAAGCCACATTAACTTGGTGCGCCTAAATGGCTGAAAAAGGTGTATAGTCCCCAGGGAGTTGAGATTGACATCCAATGATCGAGGGGAAAACAAAGCGCCTTTGAGCAGCTGAGCTGGATACAAATATTAGTATGTTAGTGAATCTTGAATCTTGAAGATACTCAGGACGAACAGGCTCCTGATAAACACAGCTCTGCACAACGAACTCCCATACCAAGATCACAGGGATACACGTGACCCTGACAACACTGTCATTCGTTAACCCTACAGCAAACGGTTATAGGGAACACAATTTCAGCTCCCGAACCCTGACAATAGATACAAAACACTGCTTGACTAAAATTATAAACATGGAAACAAGTTTTAGTATGTAACTACTCGCAGACACACCCTGTGAACAGAGCAGTGCCTTTGACAGGCTATTGAGAATAGTCGTATCACAGGAAGTACTCTTGATCTCGTTTATTGGAAACGCACTGATGTAGTACATGTAATTGGAAACGCGTTGATCGAGAAGTAGTAAATCATATCACAAGGAACACAAATCTTGTAAATTCATCTTCACACACATAGAGGTCTCAGTTACTGCTGGAGAAAGCAGTACTAGTACTACCCACATGGAATTAAACATTTTCTCCGGGCTGCTCGAAATAGCGAGAAAGTTTGCATTTACATAGACTAATCCAAGTCATATCCACAAAATATGAATATCTATAACGATGCAAAATAATTCAAGGTACAAAGAACAGGCTTGGAATCTGACATCAATTCCAAGTTGAGGTAAAGGTGATTAGCATTGAAGCAAATGTCACATACGCGGAACTGTTCACAATGACAGAATATCAGTCCACCTTGATGAACCTAATATACAAATGGATTAATTTAGAAATTTAAGTAATTTCACAAATAGTGTAGTATCCCTATGTACACATTATGCTTTGCATTCTAAGTTTAAGCTAAAGATAACATACACCGATACCAGTAAGTGTGTCTTCATTGATTCAGCACTGCTTCACACACCTGTATCTAACCTCACACATAAATGTCGTTTTCCGACTGGCTGAGGGCTCTCCTATTATTTTCAATGTACCCCGCTTACAAACGAACAAGGGGCGGTAAGTTAGCCTAGTGGTTAAAGCGTACATATATTAACATACCACAATAAAAATTATTCTGACTTGTATACGGTACACGAAGTTCAAAGGGTATTCAAATGATACTAACTGGCACTAAATATCAGTTTTCCCCAGTCTCAAAGTATATTATATATTCTCAGTTATAGAATAGAATCCTCAGTCACACAGTACATTAGATATACTCAGTCACAATGTACATTAGATATACTCAGTCACACTGTACATTAGATATACTCAGTCAGACTGTACATTAGATATACTCAGTCACACTGTACATTAGATATACTCAGTCATATAGTATATTAGATATACTCAGTCACACAGTATACTAGATATACTTAGACACACTGTACATTAGATATACTCAGTCACACTGTACATTAGATATACTCAGTCATATAGTATATTAGATATACTCAGTTACACAGTATACTAGATATACTTAGACACACTGTACATTAGATATACTCAGTCACACTGTACATTAGATATACTCAGTCATACAGTATATTAGATATACTCAGTCACACAGTATACTAAATATACTCAGACACACTGTACATTAGATATACTCAGTCACAGTGTACATTACATATACTCAGTCATATAGTATATTAGATATACTCAGTCACACAGTATATTATATATACTCAGACACACTGTACATTAGATATACTCAGTCACACTGTACACTAGATATACTCAGTCACACAGTATATTAGATATAATCGGACACACTGTATTTCATATATACTCAGTCACACAGTATACTAGATATAATCAGACACACAGTATATTAGATGTACTCAGTCACAATTTACATTAGATATACTCAGACACACAGTATATTAGATATACTCAGTCACACTGTACATTAGATATACTCAGACACACTGTTTTTTATACATACTCAGTCACACAGTATACCAGATATACTTAGTTACGCCATACATGAGATATATTCATTCAAACCATACGGTCAGAAATACTCATTCACACTATATATTAGATATACTCAGTCACACTGTATATTAAATGTGATGATTTGTCAACATCAGGTCAATCAATCTGCAGTCAGGAGGTCGTTGTAAATGTAGTTAATTGTAATATTTACAAATACAATGATCACTTGAGAAAGAATCAAAGGTTTATACTGTGTTACTGAAACTGAATACTTTGATTTCATCTGAACTGTAATAAGAAACATAAACACGGCCGTGTCCATCTACACAAACTCCAAGCGGGGCCAAGACGCCATCATCTTTAGTGAGTATGTTTCTGACAAACTGTCCTGACTCAGTAAGGTGAACAACAGTATTTCGGAAGTAGTCAGTAGCCAGGATGTCACCTGTGCTGGTACTTGTGATACCACGTGGACTTTCCAGTGTTGTGTGTCCTGTTGTACGGAAGGTAAACACAACGTCCCCTTCAGCTGTCAGGCACAGGACACGCCCGGAACTGCCATCCGACACAAGGATGTTTCCTGTTCCTGTTGTACAAAGAAAGCCAGGAGAATGTATGATTTCCTTTCCACTATCTATAGGTTTAATTGACTTTAGGACGTTTCCTCTCATGTCCAGAATATCAACACATTTATCAACATAAGAACCTGCTGCTAGTGTTGATGGTGTCATAGACGTTATACCTCGGTACTCTTTGCTGGTCTTGATGGTCGACAGCAGCACCAGGTCAGGGTTCACTTCAACAGTTACAATCTGCCTGTTATGCATCACAGTGACAGCCACCTGGTTGTGTTTCAGCCTTGTTATACTCCACGGTGAATCTCCCAGTTGGAGCTTGCTGTGATGTCGCTGTTTGTTCCTGGTGTAGAAGGACTTCACCCTGTTGTGGTTGTCTGTTACAACCACTGTGTCTGTACCATTCACCAGCAACACCGTTACGTCAGTAGGGTATACATAATTGCTATCTCCAGCTACCTTAACGCTAATGCAGTCCTGTAACACAGGAGCAGCCTTCAGGTCCAGCACGTTACTGGTGTCCTGTAACACAGGAGCAGCCTTCAGGTCCAGCACGTTACTGGTGTCCTGTAACACAGGAACAGCCTTCAGGTCCAGCGCGTTACTGGTGTTCTGTAACACAGGAGCAGCCTTCAGGTCTAGCACGTTACCAGTGCCTTGTGACACAGGAGGAGCCTTCAGGTACAGCACGTTACTGGTGTCCTGTAACACAGGAGCAGCCTTCAGGTCCAGCACGTTACTGGTGTCCTGTAACACAGGAACAGCCTTCAGGTCCAGCGCGTTACTGGTGTTCTGTAACACAGGAGCAGCCTTCAGGTCTAGCACGTTACCAGTGTCTTGTGACACAGGAGGAGCCTTCAGGTCCAGCACGTTACTGGTGTCCTGTAACACAGGAGCAGCCTTCAGGTCCAGCGCGTTACTGGTGTCCTGTAACACAGGAGCAGCCTTCAGGTCTAGCACGTTACCAGTGTCTTGTGACACAGGAGGAGCCTTCAGGTCCAGCACGTTACTGGTGTCCTGTAACACAGGAGCACCCTTCAGGTCCAGCACGTTACTGGTGTCTTGAGATAGCATAGGAACACGGGTTCACCAGGACTGGCTCACCAACAACAAGATCTGGAGCAATCAGACTGCCAGCTACCACAAGGGAGTACCTGTGAGATATGCTGTCACTTCTGATGATCCGGATCTTGGTGGAGGTCTCATCAAACACTGCCCTGTATGATGCCTCCGTTTCTGCTGACGTGGACTCTGGCAGTTGGTGCTGATCATAGTCATCACGACAACCGGTAGTGGAACACTTTTGCTCACTCAGTACAGACTCAATCGTGTGACTGATGACATGGGCTCGATAATGTCGAAACAGTGACAGATCACAGCTCAGAAATGATGGCACAGGGGCTGTGAGGTGTTGTACATCAAATCTGAGCCAGCCAGACGGATTGTACTGTTCCTGAGTCTGTAACGAGTGCTCATTCCCAGGGAATAAGTGCAGTAGTGTTGTGATGACGCTGACCATGGCCTTGGCGTCGTAGCGGATGCGCCAGTTACGTGCCAGGACTTGGTTATTGTCAAAGAAGGTGACAATGTCACCTTGACCAGACACTTTGACAGGCACTTCACTCTGGTTCTCTACCCATTTAAGTATGCTGTGATAGGAAGCAGCAGGTCGTGATGTCGATATGGCATTGCACGCACTTTTGCTACCTGTGATGTAATATACAATTAGATTGTTAGCAAAAGATAACGGGGCAATGAGATTACCATTTCGACAATAATACAGCTGTTCCACAGCTAGGGCCAGAGCATTATTTGCTGGTGTTACCCAACGACAGGTCAATTTGGCACAGCGTAGTGAGGAAGGCCATCAGCACTGGATTGACATGCTGAAGCCACAAGGAAGCCTCATATGTTTGCAACAGGTTGGCATCTTGATATTCCTGGCAAACGTTTTGACTATGGTCAAATACATCTTGTGTAATGCGTTCCCCTATAGCTTCAGCAATCAATTTGACGTCTGCAATGCAATAGACCCCATTTCTGATTGCTGCAGCAATGTCTGTGGCAGTTGTATGTGCAGAGGACTCCTGTTCAAATTTCTCTGCACAAGCTGTACACAGATATTGATGTTTCATGGATAAGTATCCAGCAGAAATGAGGCCATCGATTGTACCTTTTTTTAATTTTACGCCATGACAACTTGAGCACTTTAAATGGTTTGTCGGTTGACCAGGTGTCATGTTGGTTACAACCACAGCTCATGTTGATGTGTCCTGTTTGCCTCGGAGTGTCAATCAATGTATCACACAATAGCTTTATCACAAGCACAGTGTATCACACAACAGGATTATCACGGTATAGCTTTATCACAGATTGTCTTATCACAGTTTGTAACAGTTGTTGGTACAAACGGGTTACTTACAAGTTAATCACAATGTCTACAATTGACACAATTGCACTTACCTAGTGGCCACGGGTGTATCACAGTTATTCTGTTCTATCACAGGTGACGGTGCAGCTTTAATTTATTGTACAATTACAGATTGTTGGCCGACACAAGGCCTACAATATGTCTGTTATCAAAGCTATTCTGCACCTATTTCCACGCTAACTGTCTCTCACAGACTTACCTTTTCAGTTCTATGAGTGAGTGAGTTATTATTTAACGTCACATCGGCAATATTTCAGCCATTTCGTGACGGACCAGTTCTCTGATATTTATTACACAGGTATATATATCAACAGTATCAACGGCAAGGCACGAATGCACAGTCAATAAATTACATGAATTACATTCTGTATATTTACCTCACCGTTCATACACGGCATTGACAATACGAAGTGACCACGTGTTTGGACAATGCAATGTTTTTATAGCACCTGCACACCACGGACAACCAATCCTGGGTATGGTTGCATGGGGCTGTGGGATTGTGACCAATGACAACCATTGATGCACATTTGCAATGAACAAACACCAAACAACAACTAAACTCCACAAACATTTTCCATCACACACACAGCCCTTTCATCAAATGCCAACACATTCGCTAAAACACACCGTGTGACAATTTTTATTGCAAACTACACAACTGATTCAGTATTCGCGCGACAGTTCGTTGTGGCCCCCACTGGGCTTCCATAGTATTTTTGTTTATTCGTGTAACGGTAGTGGGACATCAAAAATAAACTCCCAACGAGTGCTTTCCAAACCGGAAGTCATGCAATGGTCCAGTTCAGCCGTTCGCGAGATGGGCCTCCAAGTTTCGGGGTATATTTTCTGTTTTTTGGTGTGTTATTTTGTCACCCAAGTGTAAATGTCCATAGGGTTAGGTAGTTTAGCAGGTCATATATCACAAACGCTCGGGTTTGTGGTGCCAGTGCCTTTCCATATGGGTTAAACGATTCCAGTCGTGTGTAGCAATGCCATGACCGCGGTGCGGAAAGTTGTTGTTAAAGGGCCTCTTCCATGTATGTGCTATTATAGCTCGATCGACCTATCGGCATATAGCTCGTTTGACCTACTATAGCTCGATCTAACTATTATAGGTCGTTTTGCAGTTCTCCCCGACCTGATATCTACAATGTGCGAAGCTCATTCCTGGTGTCTTCAGAGGTGATCTGTTTGTGGTACCTGACATCTGTGTCTGCGTCTTTATCATGGTGCCAATCTAAAATATTACAGTGCGAAACAACCTCAGCTTTGTTATTTAGTCCTCTGCTGACATACACAATAACTCGCTTCTGTCCATCCTGCCCTTGACAGAGAACAGCCCCTAGTCCATCTGTACTAGCATCTGCATGGAGATTAAATTGTAATCTGCGTAAGTGTGAAGCTGTTTGAAGTGATGGATTGCCTTGTCTTGCTCAGATCCCCATATCCACGGCTGTTGGTTAACTTTCTAACGTGTTCTCTTTAATCAAAGTATTAGACTTGACAGGGGCATGGTGATTGCGGCAAAACTCTTCACAAATCTCCGGTAATACCCTGCAAATCCAAGAAACTGCTTAACGTCTATTGGATTATTTGGTTTAGGCCATGTCTTCATCTTTTCACATTTAGCTGGTTCTCTTAGTCTCTGAGTGTCTTAAACACCTTCATCAACCTGTCCAGATGTTCTTCGAAGGTATCAGCAACGACAATCACATCATCCATGTAGATAAGGCATACGTTTAGGTGTATATCTTCAAAACAGTCATTCATGTGGCGTTGATAAGTGACGGGACTGTTACCTAAACCAAAGGGCATCCGGTTGAATTCATGGAATCCAAGGGGTCCCGCAGAGAGAGAAAGCAGTTCTCTCCTTGTGATGTTTTTCTAATTCAACATGGTGGTATCCTCCCTTCAAATCCATTGTGGAGTAGAATTTTGATCCCCTAAGAGTATCCAACAATTCTCAATCCTGGGTAGAGTATATGAGTCTTCAACAGTCTCTTGATTTAACTGTCTGAAATGAATGTACATGCTTAGAGACCCATTTTTCTTGCGTACTTATACCACATTGGAAGACCAAGGTGATCAAGATCGACTCCACTGACTAATAGTTGGCGCAGATGATCTGCATAGATAGCGGAATTCTCTTTTGTCGCTGTTTGAAAGGTCGGTCATCCATCAGAACTATCCTGTGTTTCACCCTTCACACCGAGTGCCTGAGATTTGTGAAGGTTCTAGATCCATCCTATTAAAGAGTGGATCCCTGTCCTGTGATACATCTGCCATGGTAGGCTGTTCTTCCACAACAACAAGCTGGATCTCACACAGAAGGGCATGGGGTTGAATGACTACTGTTCTTGTTGTAATGTTTGAAATGTTGACATCTACAAATTCTTTTCTCTCTGTATGTTGTCAACCTGGGTGAGATGTCAAGGTCATCAGGAATAGCTGAACGGCTTGTACTGTACAATACAGCATGTGTGTTGTGATAGGGAACTGCCTTGTCAATGTAGCCAGTGACAGTGACTTCTGAATTGGGGTGGGATGACAACCTTCTTCACTCCTGCACACTTGACTCGTCCGACCTGAAATTCTAGTCTAAAGAGATCCCGTTACTGCAGCACCATACACCTAAAAGCTAAATACCAAGGTGTGTGAAGGTTGGCATCTTACAGAAACACCTCCCAATGTTTTGGTCTACAGGTACCTAAGTAAATCGATAACATATTGGTACCTTGTGATTATAGTTACCAGCAGGACCAACAAGCAGAAGACATGGCTAGCATTCAGCATCAATCCCGTTAACCTTTAAGTCCACCTGAGTGTAACCTGAGTATGGCACGTTTTGTCCATCAGCACACTGAAAATGCATGACATTTGTGATTGGGGTGATAAGAATACGGGAGAGATACTGATCATAAAATGCCTGACTCATAGCTGAGACTGAAGCTCCTGTGTCCAATAAAGCTCCTTGAATACAAGCATCAACTTCATTGGCATTTCCTACAATTTGCTGTTGTTTCATATCTCTGCGTACCCATCTGCCGTCTGTTTTGACCTATGGACGACCCCTTCGCGTAGGCCGTCTCCCGTTTAAATGCAGGCGACTGTGA